GGAAGGGGGACGGCAGAGGGAGAGAGAGGGAGGGAGGGAGGGAGACAGGGAGAAAAAAAAAAGCCTGGAGTGGTGGCTCACACCTGAAACCCCAGTACTTGGAAGACTAAAACAAGAGACTTAAGTTTTGTGTTTTTTTTGTTGTTGTTTTGTTTTTTCGAGACAGGGTTTCTCTGTAGCTTTGGAACCTGTCATGGAACTCAGAAATCCGCCTGCCTCAGCCTCCCGAGGACTGGGATTAAAGGCCAGATTTAGCTACATAGCAAATTCGTTCGTGGCCACCCTGAAATACTTGAGACCTTGTGAAAGAAAAGAGGGGAAAAGCCAAGTGGTGAGGGCACACAGCCTTTAATTCCAGCACTCAGGAGGCAGAGGCAAGCAGATCTCTGTGAGTTCGAGGACAGCCTGGCCTACAGAGTGAGTTCCAGGAGAGTCAGGTCTGTTACACAGAGAAACCCTGTCTCAAAAAACCAAATGGGGGGGGGGCTGAGGGTTTATATTCAACATAAAAAGATAAATTGCTGTATTAGACTTTATGCACTTACCAGAAGTCACAGAAATGTTAGAAGACATTGAGGCTATCCTAATGGTAGCCAAAGACTAGCTAACAATGTGCAGAAATGTCTCAGCATAGCAACAAATACAAAATATTAATGGGGGAACTGGCTGGATGGCTCGCACTTGTAATCCCAGCACGTTGTAGCCTGAGGCAGGAGGATTACCACAAGTTTGAGGCCAGCTGGGGTATGAGTTCCAGGCCAGTTTGGGCTAAGGACAATTTGTCTCAAGAAGTTGAGTAAACAAAAGAGATTAGCCTGGTAATGGTGAAGGGCAGAATTTGAAGAACCCCTTAAAGGATCAGGACTTTGAGGCCAACAGTTAAGGCTAGGAGTGTGGTTCCGTTCCTAGAGTGCTTGTCTAATGGGCAAGAGGCCCTGAGTTAGATCTCAAGCACTGTATAAACTGGGTGTAGTGGCAAGGAGATACAGCCTCTCTAAAAGTAAGGGCTAAGAGTGGGACCTAAGAGGTCGAAGCAGCACAGCCAAGAGCATCAAGGTGGGAAAGATGCCTCTGAAACCCGAGGCTGACTAGAAAGCCCCAAGGAATCATTTAGTTCAGCCCTGGAAAATTAGTAAGGAAGTCAATGGGGCCTGCAGGCCAGGAAGGTGACAGAATAGGGCACCTAAGCTGAACCCTACTCAGTTGCTGAAGGTAGCCAGATTCGCCAAATGATTTGTGAGCTAAGTGGGCTCTGGTTTGTGAAGATGATATCCCCACCATGAAGGAGCTGGCACATTCACAAATTCCCCAAGGCCACAGGACCACATTTATTGTAAAAGCACATGGGGGGAGGCTTGAACCAGGTGGGGCAGGCTCTAGGAGGCAGAGTCAGAGGCCTCTGAGCTGTCTTTGACATCTGTGCTCTCTGTGGTCTCGCTGACCTCGCTGAGGTCCTTGCTGTCCCCAGCACTGTCCTCAGCAGCCAGACTCTTCTCACGACAGGCCTCTCCCGAGCTCAGAAGCATGTTGCCTTTGCCCTCCGCCTTGTTCTCCGTGGCTGCCAGCACCATGTGTCTGCCCTTTTCTTTCAGCTCCAGGTGCCGCCTCAGCTGCCGACGGGAGCCCAGAGGGAAGCGGGTTGAAAGAGATAGGGCCTAAGTCTCCAGACAGGAGACAAGAGGAGCCAGACCCTGGGGCTGGCTGTGGGGAAGGATACAATGAGAGGCAGTAGGGCCAAGGCAGGAAATAGGACTGGGTAGAGATGCAGTTCAATGGTAGCTCTGCCCCAAGCCTGTTTCCTCATCTGTAAAATGTCAAGGGTCCTGCTGCCCTCAAGTGGGCTTCTGGGGAGCTCCCAAGACACAGCATGAATTGCCCTAGCCCCAGGAGGCTTGGTCAGGAACCCTTTCTTCCCAGCCCAGATTGGTCCTAGATCTGAACAGGCTGGCCATGACTGCCCCTGGCCCTAGTAATCCCAGTCCCGAGATAGAAAGAAAACTCTTCCTACTGTCTCTCCTATTCCACCTGCAGGCTTCTTCCCCCAAGAACATCTCATGGCCTCCTCTATGATCAACCAAGGCCATGCCCCTACTTGTAGGCTTAGGAAGTGAGGGAAAGGGGGACTCTGACTCCTACCACTATAGCTACAAGTGCTGACAATCAACCTTAGTCTTCCCTCCAGCCACCACTGCCCCTGGAGTCACAGCTCTTAAGTAGCCCCCTTTCCCAAGTTTGGAATCCCCTCTACTGCTGGAATTGCTGCCCTGGCCTGGCTGAACTCTTACCTCATCAGCCATCTGTGTAAGGTCCCTCTTCATGGCATACGCATCTTCGCCATCTGCATAGTATTTGGGCTCCACTTCACTGATCCTGGGGGTAGGATGGAGACACACCTGGTTCTTAGGCTACTAGGGTGGTTGTCATCTCCCTCTGCAGAGGGGAGGCAAAAGCCAGCCTGAATTGATTTTTTTAAATTTTTCATTGAATGGACTCTTTTCCAACAGCCATGATGGCTTTCTCTGTTCTCTTCAGTAAAGCCAAGCAGCAATGTAGCATCCAGGATACTTCCCATCCCTAAACTTGCCACTGCTCTCTGTCCCTAGCCTGAATAGCAAGGACTTGTGTCTTTTGAGTGAAGCCCTTAATTCTTAAGACATTAAAGACAAGAGAACTGCTGTGTGTATACACATCCTCATGTGTACATGTGTAGGCCAGAGATATATGTTGGGTATCTTCTTCAATTGCTTCCCACTTTTTTTTTTTGAGACAGGGTTTTTCTGTGTAGCCCTGGCTGTCCTGGCACTCGCTCTGGAGACCAGGCTGGTCTCAAATTCACAGACATCCTCCTGCCTCTGCCTCCTGAGTGCTGGAATTAAAGGCGTGCGGAACCAACGCCTGGCCACTTTATGTTTTTCAAAATAGGGTCTCTCACTGAATCTGGACCTTGAACATTCAATTAGGCTGACTGGTTAGTGTACCCAGGGATTCTCTTGTCTTAACCTCCTCAGCACTAAGATAATAGGTACAGGGCACTGTATGTGGCTTTTATACATGTGTGCCAGGAATCAAACTCAGGTTCTTACAATTAAGCTATCTCCTTAGGACCCCCCTTTTGAGACAGGGTCTGCTGTGTGGCTGAGACTGACTTGGAACTCCCTATGCCAGGCCCTTAACCCACAGTCCTGTGCCTTCTGAATGCGGAGATTAAGAGGCATGTACTACCACACCTAGCTGGGAATTGCTCACTTTGCATGTGAAGCAGTCCCCACCAAAGGCATACTTAACTAGGTCAAAGATCTCCATGAATCTAGGTAGTGAACTCAGAAAAGCCTGAAGGCCACTGTCCTGTCCCAATAGTCCCATCTTCACTCTACCCCATCAAAGCCTAGTGTGACTCAATGGGTCCTCCAATCAGTTCACTCCAGCCCCACTTTCAAGTGGCAGTAGGCACTGCCAGTTCCTTTCTCCAATCCTAGTCTCATGGAGATGCCTGTGTCCTGAGTAGACCTGCCATCAATTATCAGGACATCCAGAGCTATAGGTCCCTCATTACTTTTGTTCATGGCCCTTTTTCTCTGCCATCCCCTTTCATCTCCTCTCACCCAATGCTTCCTGGTGCCAGTCACTTCTCAACCCTTGCTCATGCCCTAATCATCTCTCTTTACTCTTAGACCAGCACTAAGAAGCTTTGTATGTTCTTTTTTTTTCTTTCGAGACAGGGTTTCTCTGTGTAGTTTAGGAGCGTGTCCTGGCACTCACTCTGTAGACCAAGCTGGCTTTGAACTCACAGAGATCCTCCTGCCTCTGCCTCCCGAGTGCTGGGATTAAAGGCGTGCGCCACCAACGCCCAGCTGCCTTGTGTGTTCTTTACTATAATTCCTTTCACCAGCCTCACTAGCACTTAGTAACAAACCATACTTCCTCTATCCAGCAAGATGTGCAGGACACCTCCTCTACCACACACACAGAAACCAGGTGCCTTCTCCATGTTAGCTTGTCAGTGAACAGCCACTGAGTATACAGAAGGACCCCTAGCAATGACTGAAGTTCCTCCACCCCTTTCTTAGCTCACCTTAGCTAAAAGGATGGATCACGCCACTTAAAAAATCTGGATCTGCCAGGAGGTAGTGGCACATGCCTTTAATCCCAGCACTTGGGAGGTAGGCAGATCTTTGTGAGTTCAAGGCCAGCCAGGTCTACAGAGTGAATTACAGGATAGCCAGGACAGTTACACAAAGAAACCCTGTCTCTAAAAACAAAACAACAACAACAACAAAAAATCTTGATCTACTTACTGAAAGTTGAGGGTGTTGGAATAGAGATGCAGGGCAGCCCGGTTACTGCAGGGGAATAAGGCACTACTGAGCTTCAGAAACTTGACCAGGCAGGTTGGCAGGCTATATCCAGGCCCTGCCTTTCTTCCCAGTCTTCCTTTCCCACTAATGCTACTTACCATCTTCTTCTGAAGGCAGTAAACCCCAGAACCCCTATCAATGGGGTACCTCTTCCTCCCCACTCCCCAGCATTGTCCTTTCCCCAAGCTTGTCTTTCACCTCTTTCTGACATGTAGGGAGACATATTTGGCATTGAAATTCTCTATCATGGCTCGAGAGGCCTGATCCATCAGCTTCTGAGCCAGCCCAAGGCGCCGGTGGGAACGCTTCACAGCCTGAGAGAAGGATGGGTACTAGTGGGACCTTGGAGGCTACCTCCAGTCCACCTCTGCCAAACCCTCAGTAGCTCTACTCACCAGTGAGGTGATATGTCCATGGGGCACGTCATCTGGGTCCTCTTCCCTAGAGGAGAAAGCTAGAAAGGAGCCTGGTACAGGTCCAGTATGTACCGGACACCTGTACACATCAAGTGCACAGACATCGTGATGGACCCTACAGCACCCCAGATCCAGGCAGAGGAGAACTAGGAACTTCTGAATCAGAATAACCAATCATGCCCTCCTCAAAGCCCCCATGCTACACCCAGTAGATATGTGCAGTGTCAACAGAATATTAGCCTGTGATTGACAACAACAAAAGTCAGCTGCCAAGACACAAAAAGTGTAGCAGTGTATTGCTGAATGCAAAGCATTGAATGAAAGGAGGCAGCTTGAAAGAGCTATAAGTTCCTAGTTCAACTCTGCAGCCTTCTTAAAAGGTGACCAACCTTGTTGTTGGAGGTTGTGGGAAGGATGGAATACTCTAAAGGTGGATAGACACTCTTCATTTGCCCAACTCAGAGGGTGTGTGACACACAGAAGCCCAACAATGAAAACATCAATCTAAACAAAATCTGTGTTGGTTTCTCACTTCTAATAAGTGTACCATACATGGTAGTGAGAGAACAAATGTGGAGGAGGGGGTGTGTGGAAATACTCAGTACTTTCTGCTCAATCTTTCTGTCAATTTAGAAACACCCTACCAACAAGCTGTTAATTAAAAAACAATTCACAGCAAGCTGGGCATAGTTAATCCCAGCATTCAGGAGGCTCAGCATGAAGACTGATGCAAGTTTGAGCCCAATCTGGCAAAAGAGTGAGAACCCCTCTAAAACTAATCCACAGCATGTTCACCAGATGTGGATGGTGTTGGCTTCCCATTCCCTTGTCCAAAGCTTTTCCCTCAGCTCCTCAACCCCCAGTCTTAGAATTAGGCTCTTTTCTTCCTCCTTGGTGACTCACATTTTGGCCAAGACGTACCCCACAATCTTCCCATTCTCATCCTCAGCAATGTAAGAGAGCTGGTAACAGAGAGGAAAAGGATGTCAGGCAGAGCAGGCAACAGGCTAGAGCTCACTGCCAGCCTCCTGCTGTGTGTAGGATAGTGGGAAGCAGCAAAAATTGTCCAGTTGTGACAGCTGGTGGCCTGGAATGCAAGGGTCCCAGATTCCCTACTCCACAGTTGTGCCCTCTCTTGGAAAAGCACAGACACAGGTGGGAATCCCATTTCCCACCTGTGTCTAGCTTACACACACATGCACTGTTTCCTTTGCCAGGCTTCCCATCAGCCATGGCTTCGCTGTACCAAGGCACTGTATATCTCACTGCCCAGTGCTTTTGGCCCACTCAGATCCATGATTCCCTTCTGTTGTCCCTTACACCCTTACAAAACGCAAAACCTGCCCACCTGGGGCCAAGAGAGGCCATGATAGAAATAGTACTTCATCTGGTAGTTCTCGGGCAGGCAGAGGAGGTTGCAGTGCTGCATGTTCATCAGGTCCTCGGGCTGCATGACAGCGGGACACGGTTAGTCCAGGACTGCAGTGACTAAGAAGGGCCTCACGAATGCGGGGCCCCTGTTCTCTGTTAATCTCTGGGCCTCCCCTTCCCCGGGCAGGTCAGGGTTGTGACTATATGACTTTGCACAAGCCTGGTTTCCATGAGCCATGCAAAACGCGCCAACTCAAGGACCGAGCAGTACCGCCTGGAGGTCGCGAGCCCACTCGATGGAGCCCTGACATTAGGCAAACGCGGGATAGTATAATCGCGAAATGTCCAGGGCAGGTTGCAACAGCCTTAAGGTCCAGCGGCCGCAGACGTGGAGGACCACAGCACCAGGTCCCTC